CCCGAATGAAATTAGCGGGGGATCAGTAAGTGTGTTATTCGAATCAATTCAGTGAGGCCTGAAGGCAAACACGAAGGAAGCATCAACAAGAAATGGTAAACAATATGCAACAACCTTGTAGTTTGCATCGATCTTGTGCGAGTTTGTTTGCTCCAGAAGGGTTTTTCGGGTGGGAGAGGGGGGAGATGGTGGTGGTGGTGGTGAGATGGTGAAGTTGAGCAAACAACCACACGTCACGTGTTTGATGACCTGGACCGGTGACTTCCTAATGGGTCCACTCGATCACACGTCCTAGACACATGTTGGGGAAGGTATTGGTTTCAGACTACACGAATTGACTGTCGGAGGCCGTTCAATCTATACCCTCCAGATGATAAGAACGGATGTTTAGCATGCAAATATCAATATGAGTGTCAACAAGCATCAGCACTGACCACTTTCAACTTACTAGTAAGTGAAAATAAAGGGACTTATCAATAATAATAATAATAATAATAATAATAAAGGAAAGACAAGTATTATTTACACGAGCGACAACTGGTCATGTGTTATCAACACCTCTCCAATCAGCCTAGGTGATTCCTTCTTTTGTTTTCCAGGACCATGCAACCCCAAGACTGGTGCAGGTTGTTCGCAAGTGACATTGGAAAACGATTCCACGATTGCATGCGTCACGGTAGAGAATAGTTAACCAGACAATTCACGAATTGAATAATGCAGTGCACTTGATGTGACCACGAATAAATCTTACCCGGGAATAAGATACTCATTCGTTTGGCATAATAAACCGAACTCCGGTATGCACCAGTAGTCAGTATGCACATTATCCAGGGCTCCATATTCTATGGCTTTTGTTGTTATTGCCTCTATCATCATCATTATTATTATTATTATCATCATCATCATCATCCGAATCATCATCATCATCATCCGCATCATCATCATCATCATCATCATCATCATCGTCATCAACGTCTCCATCATCATCAACCTCATCACATCATCATCATCATCCTCGCCATCATCATCATCATCATCCGAATCATCATCATCATCCGAATCATCATCATCATCCGTCATCATCATCATCATCATCATCATCATCATCATCATCATCCGAATCATCATCATCATCATCATCATCATCATCATCATCATCATCATCATCATCATCATCATCATCATCATCATCATCATCATCATCATCATCATCATGATCATCATCATCATCATCATCATCATCATCATCATCATCATCATCGTCATCATCATCATCATCATCGAATCATCATCATCATCATCATCATCATCATCTTCAACTGCCGAATCATCATCATCATCCGAATCATCATCATCATCATCATCATCATCATCATCATCATCCGAATCATCATCATCATCATCCGAATCATCATCCGAATCATCATCATAATCATCATCATCGTTCTTAATGATAGCATACTCGCAGAAATACGACTGAGACGAAAAATGTCCCAGGAAAAGGTGCCTTTTTCTGCCTATCCACTTACTTCCGAAATCAGTATTTTGCCCATCAGGCACTGTTTCATCCGAAATAAACAATTATTTTTAGTGTTATATTGTTTTCAGACTATTAATTAATACATAGACCGTGTTTATTTAGTGTTTATTGGAGAAAGGAAAAGCTGCTTGTGGATTAAATCGCAATAATCTGTCCTCTGTCCAGAATGTCTCCATATCACCAGTTTCCAATTCGATGTGCTTTGCCATCGGTTTGTGAATGATACTACACAATTCGTGAAATATTTATTATTTTTATAGAAATAGAATCTCTGACTTTTACTCCCCGAGGTATAATGGTTTCCACTGAGAAACTGATTGATAATGCCCGACAACCTGGATCCCTGATATCGGATTGTGAAAGGTGCAAGTTAGATCCCCGCAGTTTATTGGTCGGGAAAGATATCGTCTGTTTCCAACATATCCCATGATAACTACGTTCTGCGTTGCGCAACAATTTGATAAGACCTCTCCTCCAAATCTTTTACAACTTCGTTTTCACTAAAAAAAAGACTCGAAAATAGATATACCGTTGTGTCAAATAAATGGATTAGTCTGAAATTCATCCGAAAACAAATTGTTTTACATCTTTTCAGTTCATCATATAAATGGTCTATTTTGTTGGTACTTCAAATCGTCTGAAGGTATACTAAGTGTCAAATAAATCGTGACACAATGAACTTCAAATCAACTAAAGGCTTAATATGACCAGATAGCCCAGGCCAAAATGGAAACTGCCCAAATGGAGTCTTCGGTCATCCAAAGTCTAACCAGCTCGATAACGAGGCGGTGTTTGAAAACCACAATCAATTGGGTATCAGTTTTCCACCTTATTCACCTCATTTGGGAAGAATCAAAGTTTCAAGTTGCCAATCACGCCAAAATGCCCAATCAAGTCAGTGACTATTGCCAAAATCGGAAGATGTGTATGCGTGTGAGTGTGAGTGTGAGTGTATAAGTTGTTCGTAAGCCTCCGTTTCATTGGTGAAGTGCCATTGGTTTATCGACCGGGTTGACCCAATGGTTGGCTTTTCACTATCTTACTTTCTTGGCGAGAAAACATTGCCGCCAATGCTTAAGGTTTCCTCAGCACAGACTATTTAAAACTCTTCGTTGTGCAGTAGCATTTCTCGAAGTACAAGGATAAGGGGACTAGGGACAACCCGATGCACTCACTCCCGACTACAATGAGACTTTGAAGAAGGACGGAGAAGCGAGGCGAGGCGAGCGAGGGGGGGGGGAGACAATTAAATGATCAGAGAAAACTTTGTCCTTATGTCCAGTTCCCATTAGCGATGTTGATCACTTGTAAAACTATTTGTATCACTACAACAGCGAAAGAAATGGCTGTTAAATGATGATTGTGATTGTTGATCATTCCATTTAACCCCATTCGCTTCGCACTCATTTTCGTGAACAAAAAAAAGAAAGATTACTCGCAAAATCATCAAACATGCCTTGATGAGCCATCTGTGATCTGGTGTCGCAATTCCTGTCGTTTTAATGCTTGTGATCACATTGGCCCTTTCCAATCGACAGCATGTGATCCACGGAGTCAGTTTACAATCAGAAGATTAGTGTACCAGACGAATAGAACTGATACGGCACATCATGTGTATGTCTTGTTGCCATGATAATTTTGGCATCATTTTTGACGTGAAATCGTGCGTAACCAGTGCGAAACGTGTCATGATATGAATTCGAATGGGTACGAGCACCGTAGAGAGTTATTTATCTCCGGCACCTCAGTCAATTAGAATACAGTAATAAATCTGGAATATCTGGTAATTAATGGTGACATTCAAGCAACCAATCAACTGGGTTTGACAAATGTGTACCACGTGCGGATTCATGTCACCGGAAATTATTGGTTTTCGTTATCATCACCGTTGGAAGAAAACGGTTCTTGCGGTTGCTAAGTCCACACTGGTGCTAATGCGATACTATTAAAATAGTATAGACCCTTACGTTCACTCCAGACCCGGATGTGCTCTGGTCGCAAACTCGTTCATCGTGACTTAGTGTCTCCAAATCACAGGGTTAAATTGGCGGGGTGGAAAAACACTGAGTCGCGTCGAATTGTGTTCAAGGTACCAGTCGATTCTAAGTCAAATCAAAAATCGGTTTATTCTTTCCTGTTGAGGGAGTAAATTTTCAGTGCGGTGCGCATGGTATCAATCTTCTCGTCAATCAACACAATTGTCCAAATAAAACGGGGGAAGATGAAAGTAGAAATTGACGCCAAACTCACAGAGTTCGGCAGTTTGAGAAACCTGGCATGATGGGCGATGTTGGATAGACAATAGGCAATAGATCGATTCGCGCTTGTAGTTCGAGCATCGGCTTTGCAATTCTAAAGAATAAAGTGACCAGGATGTGTATTATTGGAATTAGAATTTTGCTGTCCCAAGACCAATCGATATGTTCGGTTTCCTCCCTCGACAATTGTTTGCTTGAAAGGGAAGAGTAGGAGCGATACACACGAGAATGCATCTGTTGCATAGAGGGTTGAGCGAAGAGGGGCAACCTCAAGAGTGATTGGATGAATAACAGTCAAAGCTTTCCAGTGGAATCGATTCAGGGACAAGTCACGTGAGGCACTGATGATTTTTGGTGTGATTCTAACATGATCAGCACACACACACAGACACACACACACACACACTGACTTACGAACTAAAGAAGTAGAAGAAATGTGCAAACTACTCCAGACTACATCTTTCAGATCACATAGCAGGATTGAAGATCATACTTCGCGTTTGCATTATTTTTGATAATCACGGAAAGATTTTTACGAATTATGCGTGTCAAAGTCTCATGCTATTTTCATTCATCTGTGTTCAGTACCTCGACAGGAAATCAGTTTGAAATTCTATAGATCATGTGATGTAGGGAAATAACAGTGATCGATCCGTCGGTCCCAGGGAGCCGAATTCGATGACGCGATTCAACTGTGTAGGAAATGATAAATTTGGTTGTGAAATGCAAATGATTTCATAATTTGGCAATAGAGCTGAGAAATTACAGAAATTGTTTGTAAATACATAATCCGTAACGGATTAATCTGTTCAAAGGATTCCCAAAAATCCCCGTAGCCTAATCGAATATAATCGTTCATTACGCTTTGTCATATATTTTATCGCGGTTGTTTGATGCACATTGTTCTATCAGTGCTATTCTTTTGGATCATGAATACCATTTATCCGAAAACAGTAAAGTGTGTCTATAATAGGAAATCCTTTTTTAATGAAAATACTACTATCCTATCATGAATATTGAACTTGTATACATGTCCCATAATATTGGTATAGTAGACCAATTTATTGCAATCGATTCCAAACTGAAGAGATTATGTAACTGTAAAATCTTGCTCATAACTGCGTTTGAAAATCAGTCTGGGGGTGGGGGATTGGTCGCCCTATGCTCAATCACTGTAATTTTGCTGTACATGGAACTTTTGTCGAGGTCTGATATTTTCAAGCGTTTCTATTTATGATCTCTTTTCCTGACGGTATTCCTCAATCCATCATCATCGAGTCACTGTGAGATGTTATGGTTTCTCATTGTTGAATTTGAATGGAAGATTTTAGAGCCTTTTTTCTCCATTCTCCCGAACCTGTCCTCGTTCGTTGTTTGTCGCTTGAACAGTTGACTATTTTTACATTAACTGCTAACTTGTATTGTATTGTATTGTGTGTTGCAAGCACTGAAGCTTACAGTTCAGTTACAAAATCATACATGTCAACCGTGACAAAGAACATATTCAGCGGGGAGAAAATGTTGACAGACATGGGGGTATTTCATAATACAAGGTTAAGTCAAAGTACATTTGTTATCTTTTCTTTGTGACCGACTAAATGTGCATGATAAGGGATAGATAGGTGAATTTCAGTGAGCGTTTATACAAGATGAAAGTTGGCTGAATTAAGAGCGTGTGGAGGGGTTGGAACGGCAACTTGTCAGTTTTCGGTGCAGTGAGTCGTCAAGATCTGTGAGAATCCTGTCCGCAAATTTCATAAAGAAAACTTTACAGCGAACTCATTCACAGGAATAGAAGAAACATGGCTAATTATAGTTAGACCGCGGCGTAATACTTTGAAATCCTGTTTGGATAAGGCATGAACAATAACTGGGGAACAATAAAGTGAGATGAGGGAAAACACATTGATTTGCAAAGATAGAAATAGCAGACTGGGATGCGCGAAACTGCCTGAGCTTTCGCATTTAAAATGAGGGACAACACAGTTTACGATTGCATGTGGATCTGGGTTGATGGATGAATATTGCCATATAAAGTTACATCAGGATATTTGACAGAGTTCACTCCAGATAAAGAATTGTTGTTTATCACTTTTGAAGTCTGTCGGATATGAAAAGCGTGCGAAACTGTTTAAACACTCAACACGTTTACTGGGTGGTGAAGGTTAGCCCCAACTGGGAGGAGAATGACTGAATTTGGCCACAATTTTCAGTGAAGAAGCTTACTTAGATCGGGATTAAAAAGAAATGGGTTAGCGCAGTACAACGAACACTGCATATTTTAAAATACGTGCAGGAGAAACACAAAGAATATCACAAATATAAGTGAGTGTTTTTTACGGTCCCAACAGAGCGCACTGTAGCAATTTAGTTGGAATCCCATCCAAATCAGTACCGAAAACGATGTCATTGATGCATCAAAACAGGATCGGTTTTCATCTCTGTTTCCATTCACATGTTCTGTGCATCATTTTGTGTTGCACATTCCTTATAGAATGTGACAATGTAATCCCCCTCTCCCTTCCTCTCTCTCTCACACACACACACAGTGTCAGTTCCCAAGCAACTCCAACACAGACATTCTTTTTTCTTTCATAATTTGTTGATTTCAACTAAATCACAAAGTCTATACTTACTGTTTTGGTAACATCTTACATGTCGCGAGCTGGCTCACATCTAAACCTAGTTTCCGTGATAGTTTATTCGCATACCTCTACGGGCATCCTACTAACTCGCTAAGAACCTCAGAAATACGATTACAAACGAGGTATTTGTGATGAGAACTCAAATCCGGTCACAGCTCACTCGAATCGGGTGTCACGGGACTGGTCAGCCTCGTTATTCACCCTACCAGTACCGACACGCCTAAAGAGTATTGATCTGTATTTCACTCATTGACCCTATGAATTGTGTTGACTCAATTACAGTCAGCCCGTTCCAGTTTACAGGCTTGTGTTCTTCCAAACTAGGCGTGTACAGTTTTAACAGTATCTAGCACCGCTCGGCTTGTGTTTATCACATATCTGAAGGTAAATCACAAGTTAACAAGGTCGTCTTAGATCAACCAATGACCAATTTGAGTTTCATGTTGGTATATTAATCTGCCTATGGAAATTATTGTCGGCTAGATGAAATGGGTTACGAAACGGATCACCGTCACGGCATTAATCAGTCGTCGAATTTGTGGCATTTTATGGGGAGTACGCTTGCCAAACGAGAAACCGCTAAGTAATCAGGCACTTTCCCTACTCTTCCCTCACCACTGACTCATTAAGCTCTTCATATTCACGGTTAGCTACCAAGTATGCTCCAGGTGGCATACAGCTTTGCTTTCAGTGATGATTTCATCGTTCTACTGGGTATAGGGAACACAACAATGCAAAGTGAACACGATTCAACTGTGGTTCATTTGCACTTCAATTTGACGAAACCGGGTCAACGGACAACGTTTGATTACAATTCAAATATCCACGGACTTACTAAATCTTTTGTGCTCCTGCTGATGTGATGAGCTATCTCAAAACAGGCGGGGAATTCAAGACAGCTAATCGCATCAACCAAGAGAAAAAAATGCAAAACTGTTTTTTTTTCGAACCGGATAGATCCCGAGGAGAACTAACGGGTCCCGGAAGAAATGAGGCCGGGATGGTGGTGGTGGGGGGGGGCGTGGTAGAAAATAATACGGTGGTACTTTAACCCGTTTCAATGAATTAATCACGTACGAATTGTTTTTATTCCACAATGTGTTTCCGGGCTGTTGCGACACACGGTAGATCTGTTCGGTTTTTACCACCAAGCTAATTTTCTTGATTGACCGAGTTGCTTTCCTAATGTTTATTCTTATTGTAGCTACCCGGCCATACCGACTGCACTGGCTCTTTCACAGTTAGATAAAACATAAGAGTTTAATCAGTCAAACAATATGATTTGAACGATTAAGCTTCCCTTAGAAGTTCATGAGGAGGGTCCCAATGAATTCTGTCGTGACAATGAGATTACGGGCAATCTGATGGATTCCACATGCCTGTGCAAGTTGGAGCAGTGCTCTAAGTGTAAATGTGGACAATTAGCTCAGATGGTAGAGCGTACATTGTAAAAAAAGGAGCGGAGACAGCGACCGTGGGAGGGTTCGAATCCTACCTAGGCAATTGAACTTTTCACAATTCGAATATAAAACTTTAGTCATAAACAAAATAGAATCTGAACATTCACCGTTTGTATAAACTTCATAGTAGACGAGAAAATGCTCAAAATTGATTATTTTGGGCACTGACTCAGACACAAGGTTTGCTGAACACTGTTTTGAACAATCCTCTCTCCATCTTTTTATTGTGTTTACCAGTCAATACGCTGAAAGTATCTCCTCACATAAACGTTTTGTACAAATATCGTAGAATAATTTCGAATCTATGTCGATGCGTACAAAAATAATTGTTGTTCGATATTGACTCATTAGACCCAACTGAGTATCTCAACAACAAAACTTTTCGGTATCCATTCTGTTTCTATATTCAGTTTCTTTTGTCAAATTTTGATCTCTTGATGGAAATACGAGCGCCTAAAATTTGTGTGTACCAATTAATACTTTGAACAAACATGATAGAATATCCTGGATAAACCCATTTCTCGCCACTTCCCTGGTGGATCAGCCACACAAAACAACATGAAAAATATATGAAACCTTGCACTGTGCGATTTTCGTTTTAATTATTGAAACAGATAAACGAAAAAAATGAAAACTAGATTCCTTTTCTCTGCCCTCAAAAAGTGTGATTTGTGAATTTGTCTCTCTTCCACACACCTTTTGGTTTGTCACCCCACCCTGTGTTTTTCCTGACCAATCATTTGACTGTATCGTTCTCGTGACCTGTGGTGTTTTCGTCCAACCGGATTCGTGCTAAATTTGCGCGCTATCAAGCGACCAATCACAACCCTGAAATCTAGCCGTCGCGTACACATAAGACCACGTGCCCATTAACGGAACACATCCGTGGATTCATTTGCACGTGGCTGCTTACGTAACCAGGTATGGCGACTGCGCGACCTGCTCCGGCTCGTCGATTGTTCGTGGACCAGGCGACGCAATCCGGTCCACGTCGTCATGCAAGTGTGGAGCGTAAATCAGAATTGGACCAAATTTGCCGCAAAAGCGTGGAACGTTTACGGGAGTTGTTCAACTTCGACTTAGAGCATATGGAACCGGTGGCACCAAGGTGGAACAACTCGTGTGAGTTCAATGCCTGCTTCACCGTATCCAGAACTAGCGGATTCGCGCGTTTATTGGCACTGGGAACGGATAGAGTTGCAACACAACTACGTCCCGGAATTCTATCATCCAAAGAGGTACCATTCCGATAGTCAATTACTAACACCAAAGACACGTAATCGGAGCAACAAAACTCCACCGTGCCACAAGCAGATGACTCAGCCCAAAATTGCAGCAGGTAAAGAAGAATCCCGTCCCTGTCCGATCGTCGACCCGGTGGATAAGGATACC